CCCCTTTTTCTACTTTCAGGCAGTCTTGTTTAATTTCAGTGCCACAAACCCAACACAGGTGAATGGATCTGCTATCGACGGGCCCGTGCAACTCAAGCACGGGGACGTGATCACCGTCATTGACCGCTCCTTCAGGTCAGTGGCAATAGGGGGCCTCCTGGCGCTCCAGGAGCCAGCCTTGCAGGCCTTCTGCGGTTCTCCCTTAGGGTGGGTGAATGTCCAAGTGTTTGAGATGGACTTTCTCCACGCTGATTCCTGATCTGAAATCACAGGGACATGTGCGGCCGACGTAATCCAGTTCAAGGATTTGAGAACCCATCATGCTGCCCGGGAGGGGTGACCTGGTCCTACGGGAGTTTCACTTTATTGGAAGTGTTGAGACTCTGCAAACGTTTTTTAGTTTATTATTTTAAACTAAAAGGTATTCATAGAGGAAGATACAAAACAAGACAGGAGTGAACAGCCCTGTGGACATCACCTGTTATGGGCTGAATGCCCTCCCCCTCCCCCAAATGTATGTGTCGAAGTCCTCACCCTAGGACCTCAGATCGTGAGGCAGGGCTTTTAAAGAGGTGATTAAGGTAAAATGCAGCCTTTAGAACAGGCCCTAATCCGATCTGACTGGTGTCTTAAAGCAAAGGAGATGAGGACACACAGAGAGAACCAGGGGAGCAGGTGCTCAGGGGGACAACCGTGTGTACAGGTGGCAAAGGGAAACCATAGTAAGGTGGGAAGCCAGCCCCAGCGGAAACCAGCCCTGCCGACACCTTCACCTTGGACTTCTAGCCTCCAGAACAGTGAGACAAGAAATTGTTGAAGCCACCCAGTGTGTCGTGTTTTGTTACAGAAGCCCGAGCAAACTAATCCAGCACCTACAGCATACTCAGAAGATGTCTGAAGCTTCTTTCACGCAGCTTCTAATCTCTGCTTATTTCTCTGACCTCGCTTTCTGATCGCACGAAAGTCTGGGGTTTTACTGCGTAAGCCTGCATCCCTAACCACCGTGCTTTTGTCTGTCTGTTAAACTCCATCAATTTGTAATAATGACGGACATATTTGTAACTGACTTCTTCCCTCATGGTGGTGGCATTCAGTGCATGGACGTCCTCACTGCATGAGTATTTCTTTGAAATAATATATACAGTTACCTACACAAGCTATTCACTCTGGATGGACGTGTAACTTCATGTTTGAAATGTGTGGGGGTTTGCTTTGTGATTCCATCGGGTTAACATTTTACTGCTCTGTGTTTGAAAAGAAGGTGTGTTCTTCAGCTGTTGGGTGCAGTGTTCTGTCTATGGTCTGTGCCCATTAGGTTCAAATTCTAGAATCACAGTTGTTCCCTCCCCCGATTCTTAGCTACTGCAACCGGCGAATGGAAATCACACATCGAGGGCATTTTGTGTTTCGGCTCTTGTCAGTTTCCTTTCTGTGCTTGGAGGCTCTGCTCTCCGTGTGTTTAAGTTTAGAATGATCCGGTGGGTGAGGCTCTATCGTGTGTCATCTTGATGCGTTCTGTGCCTTTCGTAGTGCTTTGGATTAGGATTGCACACTACTTTTTTTCAATCACATACTTTGACCTTTTCACAATCCTTAAGGTTGAGGTTGTCTCTTGGAACCAGCTGTTAGGGGCACGTTTGTTATCATCAGTCTTGTTGTGGTTTTGCTTGGTCTCTGAGAACAATGTTTGTCTATTTTTTCTGAGTTGGCGTAGCCTCTCCAGCCCTCTTCTGGTTGCTGTCTGCAGGTATACCTTTCCCACCCTTTTACTGGCATCCTGTTTGTGTCTTTGAATCTAACTTGTGTCTCTTGAAGAGACGTGTAGTTGGATCATTTTTCACCCATTTTGCTGAGCGGAGCTCTGCCTTCACTATGGTCTTTGTTAAATACTGTCTCCTGGCATCCGGTCATTGCTTTTACTGTGCTGCTTGTGAATTTGCTTCATTTTTAAAGGGCATGTTTATTGGCTACAGAGCTCTAGGTAGGAAGTATTTGATGTGAAACGGAGGCCAGAACTATTTCCCCAAGAGGAGCTGCTGATCACGTTCACGTTACTTGAGATGATTGACTTCCTCCAACAGTGAGTTGGAAACGGGTCTTAGGAAGAGGACTGGACCCAGAGCTCTGCTCCCTGAGAAACCATCCCAGAATCCTCGCTGCTCCCGATGGCACTCAGGTGGCATCTAAGTTTGAATCAGGCCTTTTCACCAGGTACCCAGGTTCTGTCTGCCTTTTAAGCGGCTGTTCTGTGATGCGGAGCCCGCGGTTTTGTGAGGGCAACGATGCGTCTTGCTGGCTATCTCTCATCTTCATGCAACGTGCCCACCTCTGTTCAGACACAGATGGAATAAGTGGGGGCTGACGAGATCAGAGTGCTTTCAAGGTAGCGCATAGCTCTAGTCTCTGCAGGAAGTGACGTCACAGTGGTTCAGGCATCGGCCGCCCCTAGCTTCCTGGTTAGCCTTCCAAGCCATTGGTTGATTTCCTTGAACGTAAACTAGCGGACACCGATTCTGTTCCCACTGCAGTAGGTCCGCACATAGCAGGTACTCAGGAAGCGTGAATCATACAGGCTGGTCAGTGTTCAGAAATTAATCCGGGTGCCCAACCTCGGACTCTGATGTTCCAAAAGAAAATCGAGGCAATAAACTCTAAATTTATTTCCAGGAATAGGGTAACATCTTGAAGTTTGCTCCTTATTCCTTGGATATTAATCAGATACTCAGGCTACAGGTCAGTAATCTGAATATGTGTCTGTCATTCTATGCACTTCAGGTATGAGAATGACAGTCATCAGAACGGAAGCAAGTCAACTGAATTTCCAGGACAAAGACGTGAACAGGTGACCGGGTTGGGGTGGTATCAAACTTTGGGCTCTGATTCTTTTGCATGAAGACAGGAAATCATTTATGTGCACCCTGATGAACAGTTTCTCACAAGGGAGGGTGACGTACCAGTTAGAATAGGAGAGTGTAACCAAGGTATTAAAACAAGGTGAACTTAGATTACTTTTTTTCAATCCTCATCTAAGGATGTTTTCATTGATTTTTTTTTTTTAATGAGAGGTAGGGGAAGAGAGAGAAACATCAATATGAGAAACATCAATCGATTGCCTACCATACGACCCCCAACTAGGAAATAACCAGGGATCAAACCCACAACCTAGGTATGTGTCCTGACCGGGAATCGAACCTGCGATCTTTTGGTTTACGGACGATGCTCCAACCAAGTGAGCTACTCGGGCAGTGCAAATTTTACTTCATTTTTATGTAGTCATAAGTGTCTTGATCAAGTTCAGGTTGGAAATTAGAAACTGGCCCTTCCCATGGGAAGTTTGAGAAGCAACATGTTAGATATTAAGAAATTGGAAATCGATTAAAGAAAGAAGTTAAATTATTTGCCTTTGGATATATTTTTGTGATATCTCCTCCCCCTTAATTATTCAGATGATATATTTTTCTCCTTCTTGGAAACAATACTGGACTTTATATCTTAAATACATGTTATTCTGTGGTTGCTCCTTGGCCTCTAGAACATTCTCTGGCAGCGCTGTCGGGGGTCCAGGTGGGTGTGCTGGGGCTGGTCCTGTGCCCCGAGTGGGTAGTGTCTGCCTTAACTTCTGGGCTCAGACACACCCTAGGTGTCTGCCAGCCAAGAGCACACGCGGAGTGGAGCCCACAGGTACTGTGACGGTTTCTGGTGAAACCGGGTATAAAGTCAGTAATCCTGTGCCTTCGGTAGGTTCATGGGTACTGAGTGTCGGTGACGTTTAAGTTTAACTTCCTTCAGATGATGAAAGAAAAGAAGTCTGAGGAAGTTACAACAACTCACACGCACCCCATCGCTATATTTTTTAAATCAGCTAAGAAATACTTGTATTCTGAGCAGTAGCACCTGCGAGTCTCAGGCTCATTTCTCAGTTTCCCAAAGTCATATAAGAACAGTTAGGCAAAGATGCTCGACAGACAGGATATTTTCATGAACTTGGCTGTCGGTTTCGGAAAAGGCACTAAATGGCTGTTCACTCTTTACCAATCCACAGGCATCTCCGAGTCGGGTCTCAAGGTCTAGCTTCCCTTCCAACCCCGGTAAGTAGTTTTTCATTCGTTCCAGATCTGCAAGGCCAGTTATCTTAGCATAATGACAAGGAGGGGACACCAATGTCACACATGTCCAGGCTCAGGCAGACCCCGAGTTAACTTTCTTCTCCAGTCACGTGGGGGCTTATTGGAGAATCCACACGTAAACAAATTGTCTTGCTCAGCTGTCTGCTGAATTCTGAGTGGAATAATAGCATTTTCCCAGATTAGTTACAGGAGACTAATGGGATTTACTTATTTGGATCAGATCATAATATTAGTATTGGAATACTGTTCTTACCCATTTGGGACACTCAGTAACGTGTAGGCTAAGTGAAGAGCTAGGTGATAAGGTAGTTTGAAACAGTTGTAAAATTTGAATACTGCCCATGTTAACGATTGAGAACATCTGGAACTTGTTTCTTATTTCATATCTCGCTGTCAAGATGGGAAAGTTCAAGATCCCAGTGCTGCCCGTTCACAAGTCACTGAAGAGGGTGGTTCAGGAGGGCCCCCGGAGCGCAAGGAGCATGTCGGGGCGACCCGCACCCCCTTGCGCGGCTCAGAAGGTCCCACTACCAAAGGCACAGCAGATGTTGGTTCCTCAGAGCCCCCTGGAGATAACCAGGGAAATGCAGCCGGGCCCCCTGCTGGGGGGTTCGGAGCAGGTTCCTGTGTGACCCCCGGGAGCTGGAATGGAGGACAGGGTCTGGAGAAGGACGGAGAGAATGAGTCTCCCTTCCGGAAGCTCTACGAGTCTATGAAGGAAGAGTTAGATGTGAAATCGGAGGCTGTTCTACAGAATCGGAGGAAATCGGGAGCACGGGGTCATCGTGCATCAGAAGCCGAAATCGCCGGCGGTTCACAGAGCTCGACTCAGCCACGGGTCTCGCCCAAGTCCAGGCGGAGATCTGGTCGGAGCAGCCAGACGGAGGCAGAGAGAGCGGGTGAGGGGCCGGGTCAGACTCTCGAGGCCACCGCGAGTCCCAGCATCCCCCCCACAGAGATGACCAAAGCCAAGACCCCAGTCCAATGTCCACAGCCCAGTTCCTCCCGGAGACGCCGGAGCGGAGACCCGAGTGTCACCCCTGGGGGTGAACCTGTGAGTCTGCAGCAAAGCGAAGACCTCGGGGAAGGCAGTGCCGCGTCTGCTCCCAGGAGGCTCTCAGCCAGACAGCAAACACCCGCCAACGGAGAAAGCGCTGGCCACCTTGGAAACACAGCAGAAAAAGTCTTTTCCAGAAAAAGGAGAAGGAGCCTGTCTCCCAGTGTCGGCATCCTCACCACAGGAGCAGACATTCCAAAGCAGACCCTGCTCTCCCCGCTGCTGGTCCCCGCGGAGCGGAAGGTTCCAGGCAAGGCCCTGGGCACGCCCAGGCAGCAGGGCACCGCCGGCTCACCGGGCCTCGGTGCAGTGGATGTCAGCAACGTTGGCGATTCCCTTAGTAAGTTTATTTCACTTTAAATTCATTTTCCCCGGAACGTTCACACATACCTGTGACCTGTGTCTAGGTATGAATTGATGACACCGCCTTTCTAAAATAACAGTTCGCTCTGTGGCAGAGGAGCCAGGGGACTAAGGGGACAGCCAGGCCGAGAGCTGTCCATTGTCCTGAAGACCTGGCTAAGGGGACAGGGAGTGGCGGGAGGTGCGGGCTGTTAGAGAAGGACCGACAGAGCAGGGGCTGAAGGCTGCTCCGAACATGCTTGGTTCTATTCCAGCCACAACCTAGAAAGGAGAATGAGCA